AGATTTGACCTCTTACAAAGATAGCTAAAGAAGCTTTTGTTCTTTAGAACAAAGAAAAATGCCCAGAAAAAAAACTTACATGTTTTGATTTTGCTTAATTTATTAAAAGATGTTTACAAAAACAAAAACTGTGTGAAAAAGAATAGAATTATTGAAAAAGCAGAATTGCAGATGACCCCAAATGATCTTCCACAGGCATATTTTGCTGATGAGTTTATTAGTGACTCTCTGTCCATCTCATGCTTTGAAAAAATAAAATGAAAAACCACACAAAAGAGGTGGAATGACAGCAGCTTCATAGAAGCCTTAATATTCCAGGGGAAGAAAAAATGAAAGAAGGATGTGTACCTCCTACATTGGGGACCTCACATCTGTGCCAGGCCTGGTTGTGTATTCTATGGCACTGATGAGCTGTGTTCTTTCCCCAGTGACTATTTTTGCTCTGAGAATTTCTAAACTAGAAAGGCAATGAGGGACTTAGCTTGTAAAGACCCCTGTAGCATATAATGGATTCTCTGAGTACCTTATTATAGATAAAGTTTTATTTTCTCACTAGAAACTTAAACAGTTGACATTTATCCTTATTTAGGCATAAGAGACAGTCTAAAGGCAAATTTTTTTCTCTGGTATTTTGAAAGTATATACTCATGAAATGCTGCAACATTTAAAACTGTGTCTAAGAAAAAATTTAAATCTACATTTAAAAAAGGAAACAGAAGAGGACAAGCCAATCTAGAAAGCCCCCGATTTCTACTCTTTGGGCTCCTCCTAGGTGTATTACTTCTTTTCCAGGCCAAGCATAAGAACAGCTGGTCTAATGATGCTGATGTAACTGGAAGCAGAACTATTGCTGAAAATGCAAACAAGAGTCACCATATCCACAGGGAGCCAGTAGACAGTGGCTAGCTTCTATGCAGGCAATAATCATCTGGTCTTTTTCTCAGAGCACCTCTTTTTTTGTTTTTGTTAAATTTCTTTTTTTCCATTCAAGTGATTCACACAATTTCTAGGTAGGAAATTGGAAGGCTCACAGCAAGAACTCCCTCCTTCTCTTGCCACTGCTTCCCTGCAATGAACATACATCATTTAAGAAAAAAAATTGCAATTTTATAAAAAAAATCAACATTTAGACGAAGTTTACTTGGTGTCTTTTATATTCTCTTACTTATTGTAATCCTTCATTTAGAGATCTAAGTTTGGAGAGCAATTGTTGGCTGCATGTATATAAGTAGACTTAATACTGTTTTCCCCTTCAATGTCATTGTCAGGGCAGGAGCAGTGGGTTAAGAGTAAGAATACACTGAGGTCTGTCTCAATCCCATGTCTCTCAGCTGAAGAGCTGGGAGGCCATCTCCCCTGTGCCTCGCTTTAGCCCAGGGGTGGCCAGTTGAGCTGATGGACTCACTCATCTACAGACATTTGTTGATGTATAGATGCTTTTATATATATATGTATATATATATATATATATATATATATATATATATATATATATATACACACACATACACACACACACACACACACACACACACACACACACACTTGATTGCTTGGGCCCCAATCATTTTTTTTTGGGGGGGGGGCATGGTACCAGGGATTGAACTCAGGGGCACTTGACCACAAAGCCACATCTCCAGCCCTATTTTGTATTTCGTTTAGATATGGTCTCACTGAATTGCTTAGCACCACTGCGGCTGGCTTTGAAGATATGGTCTCACTGAATTGCTTAGCACCACTGCGGCTGGCTTTGAACTCACCATCCTCTTGCTTCAGCCTCCTGACCACACTTGGCACTGGGCCCCATCCTTCTGAAAACTATAGTGCTCAATTGGAATGAGACTTGATCTTTTTCCATTTGTTGATTTGTGTCTATTTTCTGGTCATCAGTTAAATGAAAACAGTGAAATTATAATAACATTTTTTAAAAATAAGGATTTTTGGTAATCCTATGATTATCACAAATGCTAAAGAAACACAGCTGCGATGTGAGTGCCAGACCCCTCGAGAGAACCTCTGTCAGGAGCAGGAGAGGATTTGTGAGGCTGTGCCTCAGGGACCGGGGAGCATTTCCCTTTGGTTGAAGCTGTGGATTTATTGGAAGACTTCAGAGTCTCCTTCAAAGTCAGTTAATTATCTTCTTCTGTCTTCCTAGAAAAAAAAATAAAATAGAGAACTTTATAGATGGGGAGAAAAGGCAGGGGGAAGTGAAATTGGTAATTAAATCATGACAAACTCAAAGTAGAATTACATTGTTGGAAGTCAAATAATAGTTATTACTCAACTGTAAGAATAATTGTCATTCATTGAGTAACAAAGACACTATTCAAAGCAAGAGTATCTGACTTTAAAATCCCTGGAGCTATTTTTAAATGCACATTATAGAGCAAAATAGAAGTGAAAGTTTTTTAGTTTGCTACCTGTTTATGTTCTGATTGTATAATAGTCTTGTTCTAGATGGGATTAAGTAGTGATTTTTCTTTTACTGCTAGTATTATTATTCGTTTAGTTTATTAGTAATGCCATTTGTGTGTGTGTGTGTGTATTTCTCCTACATTCTCCAGAATTTTATCCTTCAACTAGTAATGTATGGTGTGGCTCTATTAATAGAGCTATTAGCATATACTACAGTAATGCAAAAACTGTTATGGTAATGGTTCATCAGTTGTGTGCATAACTGAGGGAATTTAAGACCATGCATTTAAAACTCTGCCCTTGTTGTCTTTTCGCTCTTTAATGTTATAAATCAGTGTCTGCTCCTGCTGTTCCATGGCATAGACATACCAATGACCAGATCTTCAAGCCTGACAGTAGGACACACCTGGGATTAGGCTCTTTTCCAGCTAGTCTCTTAGGAGAGCTGAGTTATATGACAATAGCAGCATCAGGATCCAGCAGGTCAATAAAAGTAGGATTTTACCATCCATGGCCAAAAGACATCTACAAACTGTGGAACAAACAGACTGTGCTATGGGTCGAATGTGATTTGTCCCCTCAGGGTTCATGTGTTGGGCCTGGTGAGAGATCCTGGTTCAATTAGAGGTATGTCCTCAGGAAGGACTGTGAAAACCTCTCTGACTTCCTATCTGGAGATGTGATCACTCCCCTTAGCACCTGCACCTGCCATGATAGTATACACCATTAGACCCTCACTAGAAGCCAACATGTAGGGTCACCTGATCTTGTACTTTCAGCCTCTGAAACTGTGAGCTAAATAGACCTCTTTTCTTCATAAATAGCATGCCTCAGGTATTTTATTATAATAATGAAGAGTGGACCAAGACAGATAGGTTTTCCAAGTCTTAGAATCTCCTCACACATTTAAGCTATAGATGTAAATCTTTAAAATTAAAGCCAAGACATACTGTAACCAAATAATGTAGTTTCTCATTCATTCCATAACCAATTACTGAATTCCTACTATGAGAAATGGGCTCTTAGTAAATAAAAATGATAAGCATGCTGTCCCTGCTCTCAGGGAATCCACAGCTTGGTGGCAGAGATAGACATGGAAACTGCAGAATATGCCAAGCACTGTCCCTTATATACATGGTCTGAGTGCCATGTGATATGCAGGTAGCAGGAGCAGAGAATCCCTGGAGTCTGTGAGTAGTTGTGTCCTATTGTGGCAGGACTGGAGAGCAAATTATCTAGTAAGAGAAAACAGAACCCAGAAAAAGGAATAATTAATGTTCACTTGAACCACAGACCATCACCATCTGTTGGCAAGGGGTGAAAGGGGCCATGATGGTAGAATGGAGATTAGGGAGTAAGGAAGAGTTTCCATCTTGAAGAATTTGTTGAAAGCCATCTTGGGGTCCATGATGGCCCTCAAACATTTCAGAATAATGCACTGTCTCATCTCTGCCTTTATTTTTCCTTCCTTCCCCAAATCTTCTACTTTCCTAAATGGGATCAAAAAAGTGTAAGGGTAGCTGTAGTAATGACAAGAAATCAGGTCTACTAAATCTTTCTTCCTACCGTTCTTCCCATAACCTCATGTATAATTGACTTCACAAAAAGAAGATGTCACATGAACTGAAGTGAAAATAAAAGTTCCATTTTTTTTTCCTTTGTCCACTGATGGCAGAAGACATTTTCATTATAACCGGAATTGAAAGAAAATCTAATAACATGAAGATTAAAGACCCAGGGCATAATAATGCCAAATCCTTAAATAAATGGACATCTAAGCTCCATTAAAAATGAAGAGAAGGGCTGGGGATGTGGCTCAAGCGGTAGCGCGCTTGCCTGGCGTGCGTGCGGCCCGGGTTCGATCCTCAGCACCACATACAAACAAAGATGTTGTGTCCGCCGAAAACTAAAAAATAAATATTAAAACTCTCTCTCTCTCTCTCTCTCTCTCTCTCTCTCTCTCTCTCTCTCTTTCTCTCTCTCTCTCTCTCTCTCTTAAAAAAAAGAAATATTCACCAATGATGATATCTAAGCCTATAGGTTTGTTTTTAAAAAAAAAAAAATGAAGAGAAAACTCCAACAGAGTGTATTACTGGATTTTAGCCTTAAAGTCATAAAGTCTTAGCTTACCTACTTTCACCATTTTAACCAAAAATAACCTTCCTTCAGTCAGCAATTATTGAGGGGGAAAAGAAAGGTGTCTTCCTGTCTCCTATAAGAATATTGATAAGTGGTAATATGATGAAGAAATTGAGAAAAATTTATTGTTTTCTGTATTATTCAGGTAAGATAGGTATGACCATGTGACCATTTTTACTGGATTACACAAATAAATGTGGATTCATTCTTCAACTTTTATTCCTGTGTTTGTGAGATATTAACTATAGGGGAAAAAAGTTTAGGAAAAGCCAAATGAAATGTTTCAAATATAATACGGTTTAATAACCAATTACTTACCTCATTCCCATGGGCATTCTTTCCTGTTTGACCCTTAATCCACATTTCTAAGGACCCCTCCCTGCTTAAGATCCCTCTATTTACTGCACCAAATTGTAATGCTTAGTGTCACTTCCTCTTTCTTCCAGAGTTTCTTTGAAGGGCAGTCTGCACCATGGGATTCTGCTAAGAAAGATGAGAACAGAATGAAGAACAGATATGGGAATATCATTGCATGTGAGTGCTGACAGTGTAATTGTGCTGTTGTAGAACTTTCTTTACACATCTGATAAGATTGACCACCAGGCTCATGCAGTGAGAATTTACAGTGCAATTACTGCTTTCGTCCTGCTGCAAGGGGCTGGTGTTATGTTCATACTAAGGGAAGGAAAAATGATCTGAATACTGCCACTACATCAGTGTGCTCTCCCTGTGGGCCCAGTTTTACTTTTAGATTTAAAGTTCTAGGAACATAGGTAATGTTAAAATGTGGAAAAGGAAGACACATTTTTAGGAGTAACACCCCCGTCCTAATGTTTCCCAGCTGCTTCATGAGAATGAATAGAAATCATGATGCACAGCCTGCCTTCATGCAAGGAGCTTGGCGTTCCCTGAGAATATTAACTCATGAATCCTCTGGACTCTGGGTTACGTAGGTCAGTAATAGCCCCATTCTAAGGGCAGGAATGCGAAACTCAGAAGTTAAATGATAGTCCCCATATCACAATATTCATTAGCAAAAGATCTAGGATTATATCTCAGAAATTCCCAGTGCTGGTGAAACTGAATGTTGCCAATCCATAATGCCTCAGATGGGTTTTAAATTGAGCCCAACCTCATTAATGTTCCATAATGATGCTGAGACACATGGTAGATTGATGAGCCTCCTTCTCTCCAGGCTCAAGCTATCCATCCCCTGCATTAAACTGCTGTGAGTCACACATAAATGCATCACGGTAGTGATGAGCTCACTGTAGTAACTTAACAGAATTAGCAGTATTTATATAGACACATAAACTAAACAGCAAGGCTGAGAGAACAGCTAGCTCATTGTGCCTTATCACGTGTAAGAGAACAAACTTGGAAGGTTTGGATATTCCAGGGGAGCAGTACATTAGCTTTATTGATTGGAAAAGTACAGTTGAATTCTGTTTGCCTGAGTTAACATTTCTTGAGTTGACACCACAGCGTCTATGGCAGTGCTGCCCCAAAGAAATTTCTATTCAAACCCAGGAGATTGCTGAGCACTTGGCATGTGACTGGGATGAATGAGAAAGGTTTTATTTTTTTATTATTGTTTGAATTTAGACAGTACACAGACTCTTGGTCAGTGCAGATCCAAAGGGTTGGGGCTTCCATATAATATGAAACTTCCCAACCGAGCATTTTTTGTTTTCCCTTTGGCCATGAGTAGAGCCAAACCACCAGCTTTGTTTTGCAGGTTTTGTTAAAGCATGCCATATTTATTTGGTGCTTTAGTGATGTTGTCAAGGTCCTTTGTAGATGGAAGATGCTGCCCACAGTCCATGGTTTGATTGCCACTCAGTGAATTCATTTGGCACCTGTGGGACACTTTGTCAGAGACTTGGGATATAAAGATTATCAAGATGAGATGTTGCCCCTGCCCATGGGACAAAACAGACCAGGCAGAGGACAGATCCCCGTGGCTGTAGTCCTGCAGTTGACAGCTATGTATACAGTGCAATAATGATTCAGAGAAGGAAAACATTACTTATTAGCCTATCTAGACTCTTCTAAGTTCTTTCATGTTCTCTGGGAGCCCGAGGAGGTCTTTCACTAGTAACAATTCAGATTTCTCCCAACGGCTTCTGTTCCAAGAAACCCTTCATCTCTGCACTAAACTCTGAGGAGATTCACAGAGCTACCATGGACACTTCCCTTCACATGCAATGCGAAAGGGGATGTTGATGAGTCATTGTCCTGTAGTTGTTATAATATTGCCCATCTGGGCCTTATCTGAGAATAAAGCATACAGAAGGCCATATCAAGGGGTGTCACATTAGGTATGCTGAGAGAGTCAACTGAGCTTTGTGCAGTATAACTTTGAGTCCACTTCTTCCTGATATATAATTTTATACCTGCACTTGGGAAACTCTTGAGAAATATTTCTGAATAATTAATAGGAAAAAATTTAGAGGTTTTTGCATCCCTAATCTGAAAATCTGAGATCCACATTGTTTCAAAATCCAAGATTTTTGAACACTGACATACATGTGAAAAATTCTCTATCATAAAACTTTGTTTCATACACAAAATTACTAAAAAAGTTTTATATATATCATACTCATTCCTCTGCTTAATTCTCCTCACAGATGGACACAGAGTGTGTGAATACATTTCTTCTTTCAACAAGCACTTATCGATCATTTACTATTTGCTAGACACCACTGTAAAAAGATAATGAAAATTTTTCTTTAATCTTTGCATATAAGGTTTATATGAAACATAAATATTTCATGTTTAGACTTGGGTCCCATCCCCAAGATATATCATTATGTATATGCAATATCCTAAAATCAAAAAAAAAATTAAAACACTTCTGGTCCTATGCATTTTTGGATAAGGGATTTTCAACCATAAAAATTTAGTGTTTACTGAGTATTTACTTTTGCTAGTCACCACTCTGTGCACTTTGCATTTACTCCCAGATGCAACACTATTAAATAGGTAATATTATTTCTCTGTTTTATAGGTGAGAAAATTGAGGGCAAAGGAGGGTGAAAGGACTACACAGTTAATAAGATGTGGAGGCAGGACTCCAACCTGGGAGCTGCTATCTCTACTACCTGATGTGCACTTTGAGGGTTGTTTCCATTGGCATAGTTTAGCTTTTACCGTCACATTCTTCACAGGCCAGTCTCAGTGACAAGGCAGTTGAAGGACACTCTTGCTCTCCTTTCCTATCCTTCAACTCTCCATGCCACCCCACCCCTAATAAATATACAAAAGAACTAAAAACTGTACTTAAAAGTGGCTTCAAGATAAGTCCTCTGTTTATTAGACTGACCCCTGACGCCCTCTGTCAAGAAACTCTGGAGTACTACCTCTGCCTTCTGCAGAAGTTCTGTATGATGGCTTCATGTCTGTCATCTAAGAAGGACAATGGGGACAATTTAGTAATTGTTAATCCATTTTCAATCATTGTCACCTAGCTCTGAATGGGCACAGAGAGGACAGACTGTCAGAGGACTTTTTAGGAATGGGCCAGATATAAGGAAGAGCAGTAGCCAGCAGGGCTGCCCTGCCTGTGTCCTGCCTGGGAAAGCAGGATGCCCAGCTGGAGGGCACTGGGCAGCATCCTGATCCCAGGGTGGCAGGAAGGCAAAAGAAAGTCACACGTGGCCCCACCTACTTCCCAGCTTATTATTACACAACGTATACTGACTTTTTCATGAAGATATTTAAAAACCACAAATGCTGCACAAATATAAAATAGTTTCATGTAACTCAGTGAAGTCCTTACTTTTAAGTTGATGTATGGAGAAGGGAAGTCACTTGTCTGTGATCTAGTACATAGATAGTTGTTCTTTTGTGATATGAAACAATGAAGGTCTAGTTAAATTTATTAGGAAAGTTTATTTTTATAGACTTGGGAAGAGGCATGGCCCCTCCAGGCCAGCCTGACAATGGTCCTATACCAACTGTCTCCTTTAATAAAAAGTTTCCAAGCTTCAGGCTCCATTCCAAGTACATTCCTCCTATGTTGTTCTTAATCAGCATCCTCTCTCCCCGCCACCTGGAGTTTCTGCCCACCTTATCTTGACTTGACCCTCTGTATATCTGATGTGCACCTGTTTGTCACAGAAATATCCTACTCACTCCTCTGCTTAGTTCTCTTCACAGATGGACAAAGAGTGTGTGAACCCATTTCTTCTTTCAACAAGCACTTATTGATCATTTGCTATTTTCTAGACATCACTATAAAAAGATGATGAAAAATAAATCAGTTTGGCAATTATAATCTGGTGCAGGTTTTGGCAAATATTTTCTTATAAATGATCCAACAGTAAATATTTTAGCCTTTACAGGTAACTTAGTCCAATCCTCTGATATAACAAAATATCACACACACTGGATAACTTGTAAGTAATAGAAATATACTTCTCATGGTTTTAAAAACTGTAAATTCCAAGCTCAAGATCAAGGTGCTACTTTACAGATTCAATGTAATTCCCATCAAAATCTCAGTGACATTCCTTGCAGAAATAGAAAAAGCAATCATGAAATTCATCTGGAAAAATAAGAGACCCAGAATAGATAAAGTAATTCTAAGCAGGAAGAGTGAAACTGGTGGTATCGCGATTCCTGATTTTAAACTATACTATAGAGCAATAGTAACAAAAACAGCATGGTACTGGCACCAAAACAGGCTGGTAGACCAATGGTACAGAATAGAGGACACAGAGACAAATCCACAAAATTACAACTACCTTATATTAGACAAAGCTGCTAAAAACATGCAATGGAGAAAGGATAGCATCTTCAAAAAATTGTGCTGGGAGAACTGCAAATCCATATGTAACAAAATGAAATTGAATCCCTTTCTCTCACCATGCACAAAAGTCAACTCAAAATGGACCAAGGAGCTAGGAATCAGACCAGAGACTTTGTGTCTAATTGAATATAAAGTTGGCCTTAATCTTCATCACGTGGAGGCAGGTCCCAAATTCCTTAGCACCTATATCACAAGAGTTAAAACCAAGAATCAACAAATGGGAAGAATTCAAACTAAAAAGTTTTTTTCTCAGCAAGAGAAATAATATGTGAGGTGAATAGGGAGCCTACATCCTGGGCACAAATTTTTACCCCTCAAATATTAGATAGAGCTCTAATCTCTAGAATATACAAAGAACTCAAAAAGTTAAACAAAAAAAAAAAAAAAAACAAATAACCCAATCAACAAATGGGCCAAGGACTTGAACAGAAACTTCTCAGAAGAGGATATACAATCAATCAACAAATACATGAAAAAATGCTCACCATCTCTAGCAATCAGAGAAATGCAAATTAAAACTACTCTAAGATACCATCTCACTCCAATAAGAATGGCAGCCATTATGAAGTCAAACAACAATAAGTGCTGGCGAGGATGCAGGGAAAAAGGTACATTCATACATTGCTGGTGGGCCTGCAAATTGGTGCAGCCAATTTGGAAAGCAGTATGGAGATTCCTTGGAAAGCTGGGAATGGAACCAACATTTGACCCAGCTATTCCC